CACCCATAGCCACTGTTGTCTGTAATAAGCTAAGCATCACTTGTTCACCCCTCTTGTTTCAGTCTATCCTGGCTTTGCCTCACCTTGAAATTAGAGGCTTTAGAAAGAATCGCATGCAAAGCCCTGTGCCCACAGCTGCACAGCTGGTTTGTTTCTCAAAATAAACCTCACTTCTTATTTTACAAAATATAGATAGAGAAAAGCAGGGAGTTTTGACATTTAGCTTACCGTACTCATGGAAAAAATCTCTCTGCTTTGCTTTGGTTTTTATTTGCTCATTTTTTTAAACCAGATTCCTTGACTGAAATGTCTTTGATAGATACATACCTAAAAATTAATCTAGCTTAAGAATCAAAAAATGGCACATATAAATACCGTTCTCACATTTTTTTCTAACTGTAGGGTCCACTTGAATAGAGACTATAGGGGGTTTTACCCAAAGCATTGCAGAAGACAATATATTCCAGAAGAAGCAATTTAAGAGATGAGAACACAAAGATGTTATGTAGCTTCTTAGACTACAACTGCAGATACTGCCAACTATGATGAAACAAATCAGCTAAAGACTTCCCCATTCCCATGATGTAACATCACATACTGAAGATATAAGCACAGCAACATTTCATTACACACCTATGAAATCAGTGAGGTACTGAAGAATCTATATATAACTACTGAAACACAGCAAGTCTTGATTTACTTACATGCAATATAATTAATAGAATTCAAAGCACACTTCTCAGTCATGGTACATACTGAAAAATTACCTCTCACCCCAATATTAGACAATCCTTTTCAGGCCCAGCCTAAAACAACATGAAAAAATAATGCTACTAATTATCACATCCTGACACTCTGCTGCCATATCTTACTCTTGTTTCTGTTTATAATCAGCAGGTAACTCTTTGGCATCTCTCTATCATTCTATGTGATGTGACAGCTTATTTCCCAGTGCTTTACGAAGACTAAACACACATGTACTGCTATCACAGAAATATCCACCTCCATGAACTCCAGCCCACACAAAGCCCTTCTAATCTACCAGAAACATACTCCCCATTTCTTGTGTACCATTTCAGACAGCAGCTGCCACAAGACAGGGGAGAAAAGCTGTGGTGCACTTGTGTTGAATCCGTTCTGGAGGCAATGCTCTCCCATTGCCAAAAGCCCTCCTGCAGCCCCTGGAAAAATACTGCACTTTCCTTTCCATGCCCCTAGTTGGGAACCCACTACTTCAAACTCTTCTAATGCTTCCTGCTCATCACCCAAAATTATAACTTGTGCAGGCAGACACAATAAATAACTCCCATCACTGGTCAGATCCTGGAGTGTTCAGGTGTATTTCTCAGACCTACACACAGGACTCCAGCACACGCAGGCATGTGTTCAAGGAATGCCTACAACTTCCAGGGATTCAGTCATCTGTTTACTCCTCCTTTTGATATAGTAAGTTGTCCTGCCTATCTCATCCTCACCACTACATCAATAGCAGTAGCAACTAACACTACACAAATATAGAATAACTGTGAAGCTGTTCACCAAACCAGCATTAAAACTCCACTAATTCGTGGCTCATTAACAGACAGAAAAAAGCAGCTCAGTGAAAGATCTAGAGTTTTTCTGTTTTAAAGGCTGAAAAACTATGAGCTGGATGGAAAATTGGAGCACTTGAGTTCATGCTGCCAGCAACTTTCCCAGTGCACTGAATTTGTACTCCTCTCTGCACACCAAAATGTCTCTCAGAAGCCTTTAACAAGGATCCCTTCCAAGGATGCACCTGGGTTCAAGCCCCAACCCCAAGTGTTCCATACTGTTATGGATGCCTATCTCCAGCTCAGCCACCATGCTGGAATCATACAGCAATGTCACTAAAAATTCCAACAGCAAAGATTTCCAACACAAGTATCACAACTGTATTAATAACATGAATGGTAATGATCACAGAGATCACAGGTTTCAGCCCTGACCAGAAGAACAGAAATGAACAAAAAAGAAGTGATTTGAACATAAAATCAGATCCTAACTATTACAAAAATTCAATAATCAAGCACATACTTAAAGAAACAGCATTATAAAGAATGGATGGAGAAAGGAATTACTTGACAGCATCAGTGAATATCAATTTGCAGTTCACCTTCAAAAAGGAAAGATAGCCCCAAAACTGTTATGATGATTTCTCATGTCATCCAAAGCGAATGGCAAGAGGTAATTCTTCTTAGCAGCATGTTGAATTATGTATCTGTACATAAGCTTTAAATGTGTATTTTAATTTCACCTGGGTAAATTACCAGTATGAATCCTACCCTTCTGAAATATCTCTGAATTTTTAATTAACTTAATATCATAATTTCAACCAGGCAGTCAGAAACTATGACTAACATATGATTCATATTCAGAAGTAAACACACCTGCTTTTCAACAACATTTCTAATTACTGGCTCATTTTACCCTTTACATGGCATTGAAGCCAATTTGGGTCATACTGTTTTTAGCTGGTGATGAGTCCTTTCAGCTCACAAATAATGTATAAGAAGTTGCTGTGTTGTCAGTTTGAAGGACATTTTCAAATGCACTGTGGCAAATTACACATCACTTTACTTCTGATATGCCTCACTTCACTATGAGCTTCTACCAGACAAGGTTTTGCCAAGAACATTTAGTCTTTGATTTGAAGTGTAGCCCCACCATTTCATTGTCTTAGGTCTGTGTCATAACGATTGAGGGAGTGGTACCATATACTAAATAAACCAAAGTGCTTATTTCTAATGTTAAAGATAACAAGAGAACAAACAAACATGGGGTTAGAATACTTAGGTGTCCTTTAAAAACTGCAGCAAACGACAGTGAGACAATGAGGGAAAGCCTTTACTGAACTGCCTCCTGTTCCTGAAAGCACTATATCTTTTAGGAATAATCAGTGGAGCAAAAGGAACCCTGCTTCAAGAGTGGTTCATCACCTCTCTACTCTGAGCATTTAGTCTGGCCAAGACATGCACCTTCAGAAGGCTGAAGCTGTTCTCCCAGATCTGATGTGCACTTAGCCACTGAAATATGTATATGATGTAAGATGTATCTGCTGAAGTTTTCAAACCCTCCAACACAACTAAAATGTGACAAATTCTCATACACAAAGCCCGGTTCATTCTCAAACCAGCCTGTATGTCAGATTTCTCAAAGTTAGCATCATTATCTTGATTTGTAGCATACTAGTAAACTCCATACATCTTCAAAGAAAAAAATAAACTGCCTTCTGGTTCAAGTTGTATAGATTTTATTCACAGAAGCTATCGCCTCCTGACATCTACCTCTAAATTGCTTGATATAATGAAAGTACCATACCTGCCATGCTTCCTTTAGTTGCTGTGCTAACTCATATTGTAGATCAAAACAATACAAAAGCCATGAAAAATATAGGAGTCAAAAATGGTTATGTCCTCCATTAATCAATTTTAAACCATCACTTCAATAGTTTTAGAATCTGTGTTCTAGATATGAAAGTCCTTTTACAGCTATAAGAAAAAAGAATGTTCTAAGATCCTTGGGTGAAACAATCACAGGCAGAGGAGCTGAAATCTGGCCTGAAGTCCTGGGTAGGCAGGGCACCTTTGGGCAACACTGGCAGTACCATATTGTCACATACACAGAACACATCTCTAGTAACCTGCATCCCTCTGAACGTACTGATGTCTCTGAGTAACAGATGTTTTAGGAAGGAATGAACAAATTATACATGGGTAACCAGCAGGAAGGATTAGCAGCTGGGGAGCCATGGCAGGCAGGGCTCTGAGGTAGGAGTGTCTTGCATTAGTTCCCCATGATATTGCCAGTACTTAATCCTGAATGGCAGGAGACTTTGGAGGTTCTTTTCTATTTAAAACAAGGCTACAGGCAAAAAAAATTAAGTATTCAGATTTATTCTAGATGAGATGAAAATATTAATGTCCTAGTTCATTCTTAAATAATCACAAACAATTCTGACAACTAGAAACTACAGGCTTTTAATATACACTGATTTGACTACACCCATAGAAGTATTTAAGTTTTCAGAAGCTACTTATAGCAGATTTACTGAAAATTTGGCTTAGGTGACTTTAATAAACACAGAAATTACTGCACAGTCTCTGGGTTACAAGTGGTTCCGCTAATTTAACTGTAAAAGTTATATCTCTGTTTTCATTTTTTCCTTCCTAAAAAAATTCACCAATTATAATCTCATCCACATTACAGCATACAACCTGCATTAGCAAACCACTTCATATCCAAAAATAAATACACCTGTGAACAGTTATTAGCAAACATGCAGTGCAAAAAAACTCCCATCATTGAGTTAGTTAAGTAACATATAACCTCAACAAATACAAACCAAAATAAAATCCCAAATCTGCTAAATAAAGAAAACAGTAGGAGTCTTATATGGAGTTTGATGAGATCCCTTTCTCTTCATTTAAGGTAGACAAGGAACCAGCTCTTTGTGAAATGAACTGAAAGATGGAACTATGAGGCTGTCAAAAGCAGATTTTGAAAAAGAAAAATCTGGGAACTGGTAGAATATAATCACGACTAGTGAGATATCTTTGAATAGGCTGTGATTCTATAAAAACTATGACTTAGAAACAAATCAGATATTAATAATTCAAAAACTTGAAGCGAAAAGCAATCATCTAAATTCTGGTCTTATTTGCACAACAAATTTTGTAAAAGCAGAAGGAAACCTTGAGCTTGCACCACAGGAAACTGGTGGAGCAAATATTTTTCATTTGATGTCCCTTCTAATTAACTAAAAGTGCATGCTGAAAGCAAAAACAGATACATCCCTGACAAAATTCAACATGGAAATTTTCAGACAAGACAAACTTTCAGTGCAGAAAAGGCAGAAATGGAACAGTCATATCTTCACTGGAGAGAACACATCAAGCAGAATGAAAGAATGGAAAGGAATTACTTCTTCCACATATCATACTTCTCATTGCCAAAGAAGGTGTTTTTCAGTAAAGCTTTACCTTTCTCACAATGACTTCCAGTGAATCCAGAAGGGCAGACACATTTGTTAGGAGCTACACAAGTTCCACCATATCTGCACCCTTCTTCACAGAATGCTGCAAGATAAAAGGAATATGTGGGTAATACTTAATTTTTTTTAAATATGTATTTGTAGGATAAGAAAAGAATCTAAATTCTCAGCAAATAACAGAATTTAGCATATTAAAATTCAGTCCACCTGCAAACACAAAGAGAAGTAACTCACTAAAATGACAAGAGGAAAAAAATCTCACATTACACCGTAGGCAAGCCACCTCACCAATAAAAGATTAGTAACCATCTGGAAGAAGAAGAGAGGAAAAAACACATCATATGGTTTTAATGGGGCTGATCATCTCTCCATTATGTCAAATATGCATATAACAATTATAATGCTCTGCTAATCCACAGAAAACAGGCAGGCTGGATGGTGTTAAATACTGTGTTCCTCACTTCTATCAAAACTTCACTGAAATGTCTGTAAACACATAATATTTTGCTTTTTAATTTTTTATTGTAAAGGGCAAGGTTTTGTGGAATTAAGAAATTAAATAGGGTGAGGATCATGACTGAAAATATGAGAAGGGCTAAACCCCACTATAAATGTCTCTACTGAGATGTGATTTTTGATAGAGCAATACTGAAGTACTTCAGAAGTGTATGTGCCAATAACTCGGATTTCAAACAGCTGATGAACCTCATCTTTTCCTGTGAGTTGTGTGATGTTCCTCTTGCTCACTGCCAGTTTGGCAGGAAGTCCACTGAGTATGCAAGAAGTCTGCTGACTGTTTAAAGATACTCAATTTTTTATTTATTTTTGTTGTGTCAGGAGAGGAG